CACAAGGGGGCAAAGTTCCACTGACCATCAGCACAAGGGGGTAACATTCCACTGATCACCAGCACAAGGGGGCAAAGTTCAACTGACCACCATCACAAGGGGGCAAAGTTCAACTGACCACCATCACAAGGGGGCAAAGTTCCACTGATCAACAGCACAAGGGGGCAAAGTTCCACTGACCATCAGCAAAAGGGGGCAAAAGTTCCACTGACCACCAGCAAAAGGGGGCAAAAGTTCCACTGATCACCAGCACAAGCTAAAATCTTGTGTTTATAAAAACTACTGTATTAAAACTCACAGCCAGTCCAATATATATATATCCTTGGCAGTGCACTGACCGGGCATGCGAAAGCTCTAATGAGTCGCGGCTCTTGCGCATAGCCCAAATGTGCGCTGTTGCTCAGCTTCTGGGGTGATGCTAGGGCGACTTGACTTGCTTGCCAACAAATCGGGTCTGCGTGCCCACTGTGGCATGCCTGCCATAGGTTCAAGCCTCGTGAGGTACACCTGAACCTATAGCAAGGGCATTACTCATCTTTAGTCTGCACAGTCTGCTTTTATCTGCACAGGCAGTTTTTTGGTAAAGGTGAACTGATTCTTTAAGGACAGTTAAACAGCAATGGGGCTTTGAGGCGGGGGTGCATGAAAATAGTGTTTACACTTTAAACTGAAATTTACCTTCATGTCTTCTTAAATGTTCAGCTTTCTTTGAAGTGGTGGACATTCCTGTGACTGTTGTGTACTTACTGCATCCCATTATTCCATTAAGCCTATTTGATTTAGTCGGCATCATGACAGATGTGGACAGAACCAGCCAGAATCCAACAGTCCTGGCATTTTAATCAGTGTCGGATTAAGAGTTTCTTGTTCTGACAGTTAAATGTACAATGGCAGTCTTGGCAATCACATTGGTATTAACAGTTTCACATTCACTGTGTTTTCCCAGTATTAAATATTAGGAATATTTACCCAAGATTTATGAATAACCCTTGCAGACATTGACAGTTTTTGGTTTCTCTTAACTGTTTAATAACATCAGTTCATCTTTATGAAAAAAATAAAAATACTAATGCAGTCCATAAACAAATACTGTTCTATAACTCAAAACTAATCAAATTTGAAAAATATCTTTTGATTCAAAACAACACAAGAGTGCGCCTTCATCTAAGTGTAGAAATTTACAGTCAAATGGAGGGGCCCTCTTGTGTTTCTTTTGAATATGTGCATTAGGTATAGCTCCGGAAGATTTTACCCCCTTCACGGCCAGGCCATATTTTGCTATTTGGCACTGTGCTACTTTAACTGGCAATTGTGCAGTCATGCAATGCTGTACACAAATGAAATTTATACCATTTTTTTCACACAAATACATTTTTGGTGGTATTAAATCACCACTGGGGTTTTTATTTTTTTTGCAATATAAATGGAAAAAGACCGAAAAGTAAGGGGGGATATGATCTCCATGTATAAATACATCAGTGGTTCATATAGTGAACGCAGTGTAGAGTTATTCACCCTGAGGTCATCACAGAGGACAAGGGGGCATTCTTTACGTCTGGAGGAAATTGAATCCACAAACACGGAAAGGTTTCTTCACAGTGAGAACTGTGAAAATGTAGAATAGACTCCCTCAAGAGTTGGTTCTGGCCAGCTCAGTGGATTACTTTAAAAAGTCCTGGATTCTTTCTTAAATACACAGAATATAACTGGATACTAACATTTATAGGTACAGTTGATCCGGATAATATCCGATTGCCTCTTGGGGATCAGGAAGGAATTTATTCCTCTGCAGGAGCAAATTGGATCATGCTTTGCTGGGGTTTTTTTGCATTCCTCTGGATCAACTGTGGGTGTATTATTATAACTTTTTTTTTTTTTTTTTTTGGTTGAACTGGATGGACTTTTTTCAGCCAGACTAACTATGTAACTTTCTGTCTTTGGGGGAAAAAATTCCAGTAAGTGTATATTGATTGAGTGATTGCATGAAAGTTATAACGCCTTCAAACTTTGGCATATACAGTATACTGAAATTTTAATTAATTTTTATACTACTAATGGCAGCGATCCATGACTTATAATGGGACTGTGATAGTGCGGCGGGCAATCTGACACTAACCGATGCTTCAGGAAACTGACTGTCACTAATATCACCAGTGATATTAATACAATGATGAGTGATATTATACACTGTACTAATGACACTGGCTGGGAAGGGGTTTACATCTAGGGTGATCAAGGGGTTAAATATGTGCCTAACAATGTGTAATGTGTGTAAAGTTGTCTGCTTTTACTAAGGGATCTCTCAGTTTCTATTCCCTGCTTGGACAGATCGCTCCCTCTGTACAAAGGTGTTGTTTACCAAGGACAGACTTTACATGTCAACTAATGCATTAATTTCTGTATGCCAAAGGGATGTATTTATATGTTACATTTGCATAACTTTTCATCCATCTGAAAATGTATTAAATGCTCCCAGGCTATATTCTCTGCTATTTCGAATGTGTCAATGCAGAAAAGATCATACTGTGGCCACTAGATGAAGCTGAGGAGCATACTTAAATGTGGCTATACCTGTATGTGCAAATGCATGCAAAAAAAAACTGTTGGGGTAACCTAAAAGATAAAACAGTTTAAGTAATTATTTTCTGCAGACTAGCTGGACTGAGGAATTGTATATTTTTTATATATATATATATATATATATATATATATACACACACACACATACATACATATACACCTTTTTTTGTATAATTTTTCATTCAATGACTTATCATTAAGTTAGCACAAGGCTGCTCAACCCCAGAAACATAATGAACAGCGGTGGATTTCCGCGTCCAGGCCCTTCTGCAGCATAGAATCCTAATACTGGTTTCCACCCTGAAAAGGAAACTTTTTCAACTTATGATAATACTGTTAGAATGCATAGAATTATTTTAAAATGATAAATGATGTTGCACTTACTGTAAGTGCTTATGAGCTTGATGAAGACAGACCATGTATCCTTTTTCAAAGATGTTTAGTTTCTCTTCCTTAGTGTCCCACTCACATTCATAAAGCAGCAGCAAATGCAGTCAGATGTGCAGGACGCCACGTGGAAGTGTGTTGGCATTCCTTGCTCCACGCCCCTTTCTCCCTACACACACCCACTTTACAAAGGATTTTAACTCATATTGTACTGCTTGTTGCCTTGCAATAGTAATACATGTGTTCACAGACCGATGTTTTAGTCCATGGGAAACAGCTTTAGGTGGTTGAGCATTGAGGAACCAGCCACACACTTAAATGTTCTTCATACAGGCTTTTTTTGCCCACTTTTATGAAAACAAGTTCAAGACATTGCATGATTTTCCCTCTTTGGGGATTTTCAGCATTTCTCTGCCACTAAAACAATGTACATCAGCCTCCTGGCTTACACTTGCCTATTGATCAACTTCAGTGCAATCCACCTGTCAGGTCTTTTTTAATAGCTGCAGGCAGTGATCATTGTATTCTTATGACAAGGATTTAGTAATGCCGGCGATCAGCGACTTATAGTGGGACTGCGGCAGGCATTCTGACACTGGGGGGAAACTGACTAACTGCCACTGATATCCCAATTACACTAATACAGTGATCAGTGCTAAAAAAAAAAAAGCAACATCTGGGGCGATCAAATGGTTAACTGTGTGCTAAGTGCTGTTTTAATGTGTGTGTTTTACTAGGGAAACATGCTGCTATTTCTTTACTGTATCCAGTATACAGTTAGGTCCATATATATTTGGACACAGGCACAATTTTATATTTTTTCAAGTATTTACCAAAAGATATTCAAGCTATAGTTATATAATGGATATGGGCTGAAAGTGCACACTTTCAGTTTTAATTTTAGGGGATGTACATCAAATTGGTGGAAGGGTTTATGAATTACAGCTCTTAAGAGTAGCCATCCCTTTTCAAGGGACCAAAAGTAATTGGACAATTGAATCAGCCAAATGCAGCAATGGACAATGATCCAAAACACACTGCAAAAGCAACCCAGCAGCTTTTGAAGGAAAAGAAGAGGAATATTGTGCAATGACCTAGTCAATCAGCTGATCTCAACCCAATTGAGCATGCATTTCACTTGTTGAAGGCAAAACTAAAAGGCAGAAAGACCCACAAAGAACAACTGAAGATAGCTGCAGTTAGAGCCTGGCAAAGCATTAGAAAGGAGGAAACCCAGTCTTTGGTAATGTCCATGGGTTCTAGACTTCAGGCAGTCATTGCCAGTAAAGGATTCTCAACAAAATATTAAAAATGAACATTATATTTATGATTATATTCATTTGTCCAATTACATTTGAGCCCCTGAAAATGGAGAGACTGTGTATAAAAATGGTTGCAGTTCCTAAACTTTGTACTTGATATGTATTTTCAACCCCTTGAATTAAAGCTGAAAGTCTGCACTTCAAATTCATTTGGATTGTTTTGTTTTAATTTATTCTGGTGGCATACAGAGCCAAAAGTATGAAAATTGTACCTGTATTCCAAATATACAGTATACTGTGCGGACCTAACTGTATACACCTCCATTTGTAGACACTATAACTTTCACGTAAACCACTTACCGTATTTGCCGGCGTATAAGACGACTTTTTGACCCTTGAAAATCTTCTCAAAAGTCGGGGGTCGTCTTATACGCCGGTACACATGTTTAGGGGGGCTGCGGCATTAAGTACAGGGGTTTGCAGGGGCTGATGTCTCTTACCTGGATCCAGTCCCACGACGATCCGGTCCAGGAAGCGCGGCGTCTCCTTCAGTTCGGCCACTGGATGTTCGTGCGGCTGCTCGGCTCTGCCTCCTCACCGGTGATTGGCCGCCAGAACTGTAGCTCAGGAAAGGCACACAGGCGGCCAATCACCGGCGAGGGGGCGGAGCCGAGCGGCCCCGCGAAAATTGAGTGCCGGAGCAGCAGGTAAGTGTTCTGTGTAGAGGTGCTGCTGCAACCACATATGCTGGCTGCAGCAGCACCATACGAGAACAGGGTCAGCAAGTCTCAGTGGGAGGAATAGTGCCCCATCATTGGTGTCACTGATACCAATGATGGGGCACTATTCCTCCCACTGACACCAACGATGGGGCACTATTCCTCCCCCCCACTGACACCAATGATGGGGCACTATTCCCCCCCCCCACTGACACCAACGATGGGGCACTATTCCACCCCCCACTGACACCAATGATGGGGCACTATTCCACCCCTCACTGACACCAATGATGGGACACCATTCCTCCCACTGACATCAATGATGGGGCACTATTCCTCCCACTGACACCAATGATGGGGCACTATTCCTGCCACTGATACCAATGATGGGGCACCATTCCTGCCACTGATACCAATGATGGGGCACTATTCCTCCCACTGATACCAATGATGGGGCACTATTCCTGCCACTGATACCAATGATGGGGCACTATTCCTCCCACTGATACCAATGATGGGGCACTATTCCTGCAACTGATACCAATGATGGGGCACTATTCCTCCCACTGACACCAATGATGGGGCACTGTTCCTCCCACTGACACCAATGATGGAGCACTATTCCTCCACTGATACTAATGATAGGGCACTATTCCTGCCACTAATACCAATGATGGGGCACTATTCCTCCCACTGACATCAATGATGGGGCACTATTCCTCCCACTGACATCAATGATGGGGCACTATTCCTCCCACTGACATCAATGATGGGGCACTATTCCTCCCACTGGTGTGCATTGGAAGAGGGGTAGTCTTATACGGCGAGTATAGCCCAAACACTACATTTTAGCAGGAAAAGTAGGGGGGTCGTCTTATACGCCCAGTCGTCTTATATACGCCGGCAAATACGGTAATTTACATGTATTGGGATTTTTTCTCCACAAAGACAGGCAGCAGAATACATTTTGGCCTAAATTTATGAAGAAATTAGATTTTTAAATTTTTTTATTGGACATGTTTAATAGCAAAAAGTCAAAAATAGCATAAAAAAATAAAGAAAACGCACAGATGATTAACCCCTTGATACCAATGTCACACAAATATGCGGCCTCGTGGAACTGGGCTTTTTTCCGTGGGGCCGCATATTTGTGCACCTGTCTTTGTGCTGGGAGCGTGCCGCATTGCGCGCTCCCAGCACAAAGACTACGGTGTCACTGAGAGCCCCGGGTCCCATTCTAACGATCGGGACTCCCGATTCCGGGTCACATGATCGCTGTGATAGCCTCTGATTGGCTATCACAGTGATCAGTCACTGTGCAGCCTGGCCCCCTTGTTTTTTTCGCTCTCTATGAATGGAGAAGAGAGATACATTGTATCTCTCTAACTCCTGGCATAGAGAGAAAAAAAAAGTTTGTAAAAAAAAAAAAAAGAAATAAAAAAGATAAATAAAGATTAAAAAATATAAAATAAAAAATAAAGAAAGAATATCTAGATCAAGGTTTGATCTAGTTCAGTGCCAGGGATAGTGTTTGGGGTCAAGGTTGCAAAATTGTGCTTAGGCATTTAGATTTGTTTTACCCTTAGGCATGAAGGGGTTAAACAACTTAAAATCAAATTTGCAGACACGTAAAACAATGTGAAATTTAGAGAAATACCTGAAACAGTTAAACCACCTGAGCGTAAACATTTTTGTTGCACGCATGATTATTGAATTGCTCCTGTCAGCTACTCCTCAAGAAATTATTATAGACAGAGCACACAGGCTGCCAAGACCTGCGCACATAACAGGAAAACTACTCAGAGATACCCTGGCAAGAATGCACTTTCTCCATGTGAAGGATCAATTAATGGGGTATTCTCGCAAACACTCTCCCTGATCCTTATGCTAGAATAAAAAAGCAAAAATCTTAATACAATTACGAGAATTCCTAATAATAATAATCACAACATTGTCTATAAATGGGGTTTTTTCCACAAAAATTCTAGTGGACTACAATGTCTCCTATTCCATCTCCTTCCTAGAGGAAGGTTTGAAACTGCTAAAAAGATATGGTTTTCTGCCTAAGCCCTCATGCACATTGGACGTTTTGATAACGCTGGTAACATTAGCTGTGTTAAGTCACGTTAAAAATGGGAGTTTTTCAGCTTTATTTAGAGTTTTTGCATTGGCGTTTTGCCACGTTTAGCCGGTGTTTTCCTGTGTTTTTCCACATTTGCCTTTTTTGTAGCGTTTTTTTTTTAACCCCCAACTTTTTTTTTGGTCAAATAAAGTCCAAAAACACAGTTTTGCTGAGTTTTACCGTGTTTTCAGCATTAGAGCGTTTTTACAGCTAAAAAACTCCTCTAGAAACCCAATAGCCTGGGTTTTTTTTCCAGCCAAAAAACATTTATTACAGTCTATGTGTGCATGGGCACATAGGATAACATGCTGAGGGGTTTACTAGCTGTAGAAAAAAAAAATGTCAAAAACCAAAAACACAGCCGCTGTAAAAACGTCAAGTGTAAATTAAGATTTACAATGAAGGAGACTTTCTTGTGAAACAAGCTCCTGGAAGAATTTCTCCTCAATGGCAAACAAGTAATGGATAACAAGAGCTCCATCTACTAGTGAAAAATTTGTTTGCACTTACTGTATAAGATGTAACTGGCAGACGGTTTAATTTTCGATTTCAAACTCTGGATTTCTTTTAAGCACTCAGGAATCTCCTATATACCTGTTTCTTTTGCCCTACCCCTAGAAATTTAGTACAGAATGTTCTGTACACTAGAGTTGGTTCAAGGCTTTTTTTTTTAATTTTACATCTAGTTTAGTTCTGTTGTTTATTTTTTTCATGTCTACTACAGATGACCTATACCAGTCTGTTTTCCAAGCAGAAATTAGATATTGTCACACTGTTTTTCTTACTCCTATTGGTAAAACATAGACTGCTAAAAAAAATTAAAGGAACACTTTGAAAAACACATCAGGTCTCAATGGGGAAAAATATACTGGATATCTATACTGATATGGAATGGGTAATGTGATAGGAACGTATCGTTTGATGGAAATGAAAATTATCAACCTATAGAGGACTGAATTCAAAGGCACCCTGAAAATCAAAGTGAATAAATAATGCAGCAGGCTAGTCCATTTTGCTGAAATGTCATCACAGCAACTCAAAATGGTCCTCATTAGTTTGTATGGCACCCACGTGCTTGTATGCATGCCTGACAACGCCGAGGCATGCTCCTAAGGAGACAACAGATGGTGTCCTGGGTTATTTCCCCCAGATCTAGACCAGGACATCACTGAGCTCCTGGACAGTTTGAGGTGCAACCTGGTGGCGTTGGATGCACCAAAACATGATATCCCAGAGGTGTTCTATTGGATTTAAGTCAGGCGAGTATGGGGGCCATTCAATGGTATCAGTTCCTTCATCCTCCAGAACTGCCTGCATTCTCTCGCGACTTGAGGCTGGGCATTGTCATGCACCAGGAGGAGCCCAGGACCCCCCACATGCAATAGATTTCCAATATATTTAGCAAAAAAATTATATATGTGACATATATTTAGAAAATATTGGCCTACGCTAATATATTTTAACATGTATTCTAAAAAAAAATTATTTAAATATATTTTCTTAAGGCATATATTTAAAAAAATATATATTTTAAATATATTCTTCAGATTTTTTTTTAATATATAATAAAGTCATTTTAACATATATTTGTAAATGCATTCCAAAAATGTAGATTAGATTAAATGTATTTTCAAAGACATGTATTTGAAAATGTATTTTTTTTTTAAAATGTCATATATTTTTTAATATATAAAAAAGCATTGCAACATACAGTATATATATATTTATTGAAATATATTTTTGAAATATACTGAATATGGCCAAAATTGTAGTATTTCAAATATATGTTAATATATTTGAGAAGAATATTTTTTAAATATATTTTTGTTCCACGTGGGGCACTGCACCAGCGTAGGGTCTGACAATGTGTGCAAGGATTTCTTCTCAATACCTAATGGCAGTCAGGGTGCCATTGTCTAGACTAAGGGTGTCAAACTCCTTTTTATTGCAGACCGTATCAGCATTATGGTTGCCCTTAAAGGGCCGGTTGTATCTTGGACTAGAGCACCCCACCCCCTATACATCAAATTTCAAGAATCCCCACCTTCCCTAACATCACTGTGCACCCCCTTTGGGGACAGAGCTGGAAAGCAGAAAGTGCAGGGTCTGGAGGACAAGAGGAGTGGATTCAATTACCAGAGTCTGCTAAATGCTGAGACCAGGGGAGGCAGAGATGAGGGGGTGCTGCAGCTGCACTGAGAGGTGCAGGATCTGGCGGAGGAGTTCTGTCCTCCTCTCTGCTGCCAACTGCTGAGACAAGGTGGAGGCAGAGACTAGGGGGGTACCTTAGCTGCAGGGAGAGGTGCAAGGGCCACATGAAATGGCCTGGAGGGCTGGATTCATCCTGCTGGCCTTGTGTTTGACACCTGAGGTCTAGACTGTAGAGGTCTGCGCGTTCCTCCATGTATATGCCTCCCCAGCCCATCACTGACCCACCACCAAAAAGATCATACTGAATGATGTTACAGGCAGCATAATGTTCTCCAGACCCTTTCACGTCTGTCACATGTGCTCAGGATGAAACTGCTCTCATCTATGAAAAGCAGAGGACGCCTGTGGTGAAACTGCCAATTCTAGTGTTCAATGGCAAATGACAATCGAGCTCCATGGTTCCAAACATGGAGCTCAGGGCCCACTAAAAGGACATTGGGTCCTCAGACCGCCCTCATGAAGTCTGTTTCTGATTGTTTGGATGTTTGTAGCAATCATGCCACAGAGATGGACGTGGTTCAACCATTTTGGCTCCAACCTCCATCTTGGCAAAGGGTCATCCATCTTGTACAAACATATCTCCCCTCATTCTCCCCTCTCCCTCTCTGAGAGTCGCAGTGACATATGGTCGGTGTGTGTGTGTTGGAAGTGTCACAAGCCAGCCAGGGCACAGCAGGGAGTTCTGAGGTATAAACCATTTTTGAGCTGGGTGCCGGGTGGGTTGGGAAGCTGAGCAATCTGGCACCTCGTAAAAAGATAACTCAAGCCTTCCCCTGAGTTCAAAGACATTCCAGAGGAGTAAGAGA